TAAAGGGCTCTCTCTCTTTCCTGTATGCCAGCAAAATTTGTTGTCTGATGCTGTTGTCTGCAGTGTGGATGCGACGTCTAAGGGCTCTGCATTTTTGTCGCTGTGTGCGAAGCTCCTTGGTCCACCAAGAGACTCCTTGTAGTTTCATCGCGAACCGGGTGGGCAGAATGTTGTGGCATATGTCTTTCAGTGTCGCCAGGAGTTGATTGGTGAATAATTCCATGTCGGCTGGACTGTTAATGCTGTGAAGTTTTCTTTCTTCGTTATGTAAGATGGTGGAGAAGGAGGAGGTGAGGTGCCGGATCTTATTGCCTGGGAGCTTAAACCTGGTAATAACAGAAATGGTGGTGTCGCAGCTGATGGAGAAATGTATGTACTTGTGGTCTGAGTTACTCTCTTCTTCATTTACTGTCCAATCTTGAATTGTACGTGCGATGTTGTGCGTGCAGAGAGTAAGGTCTGGCCAGCCAGTATTGTAGGAGTTATCGTAAGTGGGTGGAGCATCTGGAGTGTTGAGGAGGTGGAGGTCATGACAGGCCACAAAGTCTTCCAATTCTTGGCCCTTTGCGCTAGTATCCGCATAGCCCCATATGCTGTTATGGGCATTAAAATCACCACCTACAAGAATCGGAGTTGAGGGATATCGTTGCATGACATCAAGGACGTTGGTGGTGAGATTTATAATATCTTCAGAAGGTGGTGAGTAAACAGAGATGAGGATAAGATGAAAGTTTTGAAGGGCTAGTAGTATGGCAACTATGTCGCGTTCTTGTTTAATAACTATGGGGGACCAGGAGGGATTGCAACATGCAATGGCTGCTCTTGGGGCTTGATTTTGGGGAACGGATTTCTGTTGAAAGAGTGTTCCAGCCAATTGGAAGACCTGCAACTTCCCCTTCTCTGGTGTAGGGTTCTTGAAGTAGAAGTACGTCGGCATCATGCGTAATTGCGTGCTGGATAAGCTGTGAAGTGGCGGCTCGTGCTCTTTGAAGGTTGATTTGTATACATTTTACAGTGTCGTTTGACTGCGTAGTGTTGCTTGCCATATTGTTTGGGATGTCAGGGGTACCATTAATCGTACTGTGTGTGCTACGCTTGATTCGTGCAATGTACCTTCCGTATGTAGGGCATGTGACGTCGTAGGCTGGATGTGCGCAGAGTGTCTTATTGTGGCTCCTATAGTTCCAGTCTGCACAGTTGATGCAGGTGGGTTGGCGGGCGTTGCAGTCTTTAATGCTGTGGCTGCCAAAACAGAACGCGCAATAGATCTTGTTTTTACAGTTCTGTTGGGTGTGCCCGAATTCCTGGCAGCGGTAACATCTTCGAGTGTTATAAAATTCTGCGATTCGATGTGCTCGCCAACCGAGGTACATTCTTTGGGGACTGAATGAGTTGATGATATGCTGGTGGTGTGCATTCCAGGACCCACTTGATTCCATTTCCTTTGTCTTTTAATCTGTAGAGGACTTTAGCTAAATTCTTGTTGAGGTGAAATTCAGATCCTAGTGCTTTTTCGATGTCTGCCTGGGAAACTGCTGGGTGTACGTCGTGGACGGCAACTTTGGGAAGTCTAGTAGAAGGTAGTTTAGTCATAACTAGTTGCTTCCCTTGGGTACCCTGTAGTTTTTTGGTAAGTTTCTCAAGATCTTCAGGGGTAGCACAGTCTACGGCCAGACCCTCTTTTTGAATTGGCCTTAGCGTGGTGATCTTAACCCCTAGTGTGGGAAGAGGAAATTCAGCACTGAGTCGATCTTTAAGTTCCTTCCTTGTGAGCTTTGTGTCTTCTTTAGGGTAAAGCAAGAGAGTGTGTTTCGGTGGTGGTTTAGACACCTGTGCGTAGGATCTTGAGACTGTTGGAGGTGTTGTTGTCGTGGACACACTGAGGAATCCAGGATCCGTGTTGGTGGCTGTGGGCTCTGCGTAGGGCTTCTAATGGCTAATTCTTTGAGAGCGTCGAGGATGCCTAGTAGCTGTTCGCATAGGTCCTTGGTTAATAGAACGTGATTTTCATTAAAGCAGATTCCTTTTGAATGAAATCCCATTTCTGCAATTTCAAAGTGTTTGGCTACACCAGTAAAGTTCGTACCATTGTCAGTATAAAGAGAAGAACATCTTCTCTCTTTGCCCAAAATCTTCATAATAGTTGCATAAATACTTCAGCAGACGGGGAAACTAGTTCCAGATGAGCTGCTTGATAGACAGCACATCTGAAAAGTATTACCCATGCTTTGCTTCTTGCACATAAGAAAAAGGGTCCAGCTAGATCTGCACCAGTTACTGGAAGTGACACAACTCATTGTATTCAGAAGGCAAAGGAGCTGAATCTAGGTTATCATTTCTGGAAGTCAGTTTCTTGCATTGTATACATTGTCGTAAAACTCTTCTGATAACTTATTAATTCCATCTTTTGGGAATCCAAAATCATTTTCATGATTGTATTAGTGTCAAAGATACTCCAGCATAAGTCAAAGAGTGTCCTCATGTGTAACGGGTATATGAGACAGTTTCCTTTAGAAAGTCCTCCATGAAGGCATCCCTCCCTTTAGGCTGATAGCCCTCGTGTGCTTTGCCATAATTGAATGATCCATTCCAATCCATATGTCAAAGATCTTTGGTATGCAATATCAATCTCTCTAGAAAGGATGATCTGGTAAACTATAGCCTGTGTAAAATTCTCTGGATTTTGACTGAGAATGAGTCTTGTTTGGACCTTCAGAATTTCATTTTAATGTAAAACTGTACTGTATTATTATAGTACTTCTCTCATATTTCAGAAGGCCATCCAAACTGTCTGATTTCTATCAGTGTTTTTTGCCTTTCAGTCTCTTCACATGAAATCTTACTTTTAGATTTTGCATTCACTCTTTCATCTTAGATTTTGCATTGATGTTGTTGCAAAATCTTAAAACATAAGCAGTCATGCGGACGATTCTTTTGTAGTTTGAAAAATGCAAAAATATTTTGCTAAATTTCTTTTCTCAGTGACTGTATTTGTGTTAATTGGCTTGCATCATTACAGAAGTGCTACCATTGGAATAGATAATTACGATATTAGCCAAGACTCTTCCTTTCTATACAACCAAGCTGGACCCTCCACCCATTGACTCAGCAGAATGTCTGACCAATCGCAAGTTCGGGTAAGCAAGTCTGCTAGGTTGACCAGGAATGTGTCTCCAATCATCTCTAGTGTTCAATTCCCTGATTTCTGTCAATCAATTTCCAATGAAGGTGTTTTATGGTTCTGTGCTCGTAATCCATGCAAACCTATCGTCAAGTCCATCCAAAAGTATGTCTACAAAGGAAAATTTAAAATGTCTAATATTATCAAACGAATTCTAACTCTCGTGATGGCTCTTAAGAGCTCCATACATGGAATTGTTGGCCTGTTAACAGGAGCTAGCCTTTGCAAATTCATTGAGACTTTCACTTCTACCTTTTCTTCACAGTGTAGAGAAAGCATAATCTTGAGATGAAGCATCAGTCAATATGTGTAAGCTGGCTGTTTTGAAATTTCCATGCAATATTTTTCAAGGCGATCTACATTTCTGAACAAGATCTAAATGGGTACTTACGTATTAACGCAACCAGGCCAAAATTCGCATAAATTGTTAAATTTGACGACCCTACTTACGGCAACCCTACGTGTTATACGTAGTTTTGTAAAAAGAGAATGTGGAGATTCACAAAATTTTCCTGCATTTTCGTGCAAATTTTTGTAATTTATGAGAAAATAGCAGTGTACATGGTTAAAGTCAAGAGTGTGCGCAATGCAATTTTTGTGCAATTCTGGGATGTTTTTTTAAGTAAAAATAAGTCGACGTGTACATGGTTATGGGCGAATATGGTTTTCAATCAGTGCTAAAAAGCAATAGCCAAAAGATTTCCGCTGAAAAAATAATTCTGCAACTTATTCAAATTCGAAACCGGAAGGGTTTAATTGCTATTTTATATTTTAAAACAAAATAATATAAAAAAACTGTATTAAAAATTATCTGTAATTAATAAATGTACATTTTCTTTCTATTCATACTTTTTTACTCAAACTTGCAAATAGCGCCAACCTGGTTGCGATAATACGTAAGTACCTCTAAATGTTTAGCATATCTTCAATTGCATAATTGCAAACTGGATGGCAATTCTTCTTCCTGATCCAGCTTATTGCATCTAGCTACTTGCAGTAGTAACTTTGGCAATAGTGTCGCAGGTGACGTAATGCATATGGGATCGTATATGCTGATAACAATAGATTGTAATATTCTCTTCATAACAACTTCACTAAATTCCATGTCAGCTTGAAGACAAATGCATTCAAATGATGCTTCTTTCATTCCTATAGTCTATTCGTAACAAAATTACATGCAATATTTTTAAAATATAGCAAAACTTTATTTTTAAGAAATTAATATCAAAAAACGACAAACATTTTATGTCACAAAAGTCTTTGTACACTTCAAAAAATTCTTGACATATTAACATATTAGTAAATATTTTCATTTTTCATTAAATTATTATTTAGTAGGATATCCTTTAGCATCCACAACAGCTTTTAAAGGTCTGGGAATAGATTTTACTAGTTTTTTTTTTTTTTTTTTTTTTTTTTTTTTTTTTTTTTTTGTAATTTCTATATCAGTGTTTCTCCATTCTTCCATCATGACTGTTTTGAGTTCGCTTTTCGTTTTGATGTCGTGTTTTCGTACTCTAACCTCCAGTTCTTTCCAAATATGTTCTTGGTGTTTAAATCTGGCAACTGAGATGGTGTTTTCAAAACCTGTGGACAATTATAGAGACACCATAGGCGAATGTTGAGAACCATATGCTTAGGATCGTTATCATGATTAAAAATAAATTTGTTTCTAGTACCCAAATTTTGGGCTGATAATTTTAAATTGTCTCTTAAAATATTTAAATAAAGAGAATGATTCATTATGCCATCAATATCAATGCCTTTGTTTTTTTATTAAATGAACTTTGTATCTAATTGTAATTTCCCCTTTGCTTAGGTTGGTGCTAGAGAAGATTCCAATGTATATATTAGAATGAAAAAGAAAGTTGCAAATGATATCGGTGTATCAACTAAACATATTCAACTACCAAGAACAGTTACAGAGAGAGAGGTATATTAAATTCTTCTGAAATTTTTACATGCATCATGATAGTCATGCAGTTTATTACAACATATATTCCCTACAAGAAAAAGTTATTTATTAGCTGTAATATTTTTATTGGTACTTATGCATTATCTCATTGACCATGAAAGTTGGCTATCACCGAAGCATGCAAATTGGCAGAGATCCTACCCAAGTTGCTCCAATCGTGCTGCAGAATTCTAAAGGAACAGACATCTCTTTACTTAATAAGCAATTTGTATTTGACTTGCACTGTTTTTTCTCTCTAAAAAATGCTTTCGTCGATTTTGTTAGGCTTCTCGATTTTACCAAAAGCTCTGTTTAGAACACTACAAATACAAACTTCCCACAGATAATTATTACAGTTATTACTCTTTGGTTGGCCATATCATGCTAAGATCCAGTAACTCTGAATAATCCACTGGTTGCAGTTCAGTAGAAGGAAGGTTCTAAATCTAAATTACCTTTTTTTTTTCAAAATGCAAGAAAAAATATAGAGCAATAACATTTAATTTATATTGTAACAAAATGTGACTTATCGAGAATCAACTGGGGGTTACATCAGATGAAAGCAAGATGTTATGTGCATATCACGTTATGCTTGTCCATAATTGGTGTTAAATAATGATGCTTGGCAACAGTTTCACGGTCGATGAGATAATATGTACCTTTTTATTTTGAAATCTTAAAAGCAAAAATTAATTATTTATGTGGTAAATTCTTAGTATGTATTTTATTCATAGTTTCATATCCTAATAATTTTTGCTATGTTTTTATGTTTTGCCATCTTCCAAATGAATTACAAAAATTTTATTTTAAATAAATCTCAGTTGTATTCTGTATGAATCAAATAAATCAATAGCAGCTATAAATGTGTGTAAAAAAAAAAAAACACTGTAAATCATATTTTATTGTTAAGAGAACTAGAAAATATTTGCCAAAACTAAATTAGTGCAGTGATCCAAATTTTTGGGCAAAGGCATTGTAACTTTGTTTGTTTGTGCTGGCAAGACACCCCCCTCCAAAAAAATCTGATCTGGGTTAAAGTATTGATGAATCAAGATTAATATCTTAATTTGATGCTGAGATAAGTTTAGATAAATTTTAAAAAATAATAAAATACTTGAATTTGATCACTTTTAATTAAATTATTATTATTATTTTTAAATCAGAGTTGCTCGATTCTTAATGTGATATTTTTAGTTCTAGTAGAAAGTCATTTAAATACATAAAATTTTCATATGCATGGAATTTTCAGTGGGAATATATGGAAATGATGTGTATGTATTATTACATGGCAAATGGTGTGCATGTACATGGTCACACGTAGCTTTAGTGATTTTAATTTACCATCTAGTTTTCTTAAACTCTTTTTCTCTCTTTGTAATTGTCTGACTATAATGCATATTTTGACTTCTATATTTTGCCACTCATTACTGATGATCAGCAAAGAAAATTTATTGCAGAGAAAATAGCAATATTTGCAAGATAAATCGTGAAATTTGACAGGCTGGGATTTAGAATAATTTTGTAAAAGATTTCAGCGTTCCATGTATGAATTACCAACCCTCCTCAAAATGGGGTTTTTTTCTTGTTAACCCCTTCGCGCCGACTGTCATGTATATGTGCCAGCAACGAACACACTTATCTACCGGCCGACACGCAGGCGTGCCAGAGGATTGTTGCATTCTCTACCGACTGTCACGTATTTGTGCCAGTACCTTGGAACGTTTTTCAAACTATAATTTCTGCCACAAGATGGCACTGTATGTCCATATGGTTTCAGATACATGTGCATTAGACCTTCTACTTGAAATGAGAGAAGCATGACTCGCATACACGTGTTTTTGATTATATAAACAAACGGGGAACTAAATGTTTCTGAATGGCGTGATTTATGACGTCTCTTTAAATCGCACTTTATTCGCACGTGGTAGTTGTTTATTGTAAGTAGAAGTTTTATATGCGCTAAAGCGTTGAGTATTTCCGTTTACAGTTCAGTTTTTAGAAAATAATTAGATCTTGTTAGACGTGAATTCTTTCCGTTTTTTTAACCGTTTCAATGTCGAAGCGTCGAAAATGTTTAACAGAGCATGAAAATAGCAGAATGATGCAAAATATTTCAGATATTGATTCTGAAATTCTGATAATTCTGATATTGATTCTGAAAGATTAACTGAAAGACATTTTCCAAACTTTGTTCAGAAGAGATTGATAAGAAAATGAGACGACGATGCTTCGTTTGTTCACATTCCCGGAAAAATCCTCCAAAACGGCAAATGAGTTATTACGAGTTCAAGGAATGTAACCTAGGACTGTGTGTAGATCTCTGTTTTAAAAATTTTCATACGAAAAGAGAATTTTAAGTAATATATTTAGTTTTCAGATGTATAATGTTAAAAGTCATAAAATGGTGAGTAATTAAAATAAAATGTGTAAAAATGCATTTAAACAAGAAATAAGGTAATTAAAGTATATATATAAAAATATTTATAAAGCATAAGCCGTTTAAATACTCTATAGAGCATTATTAAACAATGGGTTGATACTTCGGAGATTTCATGGATTTAGGCTTAGTAGCAAAAAGCCCCCGGCCCTGGAGAGACGCTCGCGGAAGACACTGCCGGCCTCCGCGATAAGTGCGCGTTTTCGCTACCCGGCTCGAAGGGGTTAAGTAGATAGTGATAACAGAAATGACAAGTTGCAGAGTTAAATTCGCATTACGTTATATATTTTTTAAATCAATCATATCCTGGTATTGTATAATTAGTGCTTTTATTTAAGACTGATTTGTATAAAAGTGGACAGTAACCAGAAACATTATATTGTACACTGTAAGAATAATTAATGCTCTTCTCAGGACCAAATTCAGAAATGTATGTATGTGTGTATGCACATGTATATGTACATGCACATATGTGTGTATGTATACACATGCATATATGCATACATGAACACATGCATAATACACACATTTCTGAATTTGGTCCTGATAACAGAAGAGTACCGAATTTTTTCATTTAAGTGATACAGTTTTAAAATGATAAAAAATAATTATTCTGCTTTGGAAATGCTTGTTGATTTCCAAAGGCATCAAAAGTGTTACTTCATGTAACTTTAAGAAAATAACCTTTTTTAGTATTCCAGGATTTTGAGGTAATTACTTTAGCTTCAAAACTGGTTTGGATTTTGGAATAGAATTTAATTTGCAGGATATTTTTGGCAGGATTTCTAGCTACACACGTTTGTATTAAAGTTATATAATTGTAAAAAAGAAGTAAAACAGTTAACAGTAAAAGGAGAAATTTGAAAAAAAATGATATACTCTACATTTATAGAAAAATTTGATATTCTTGAAATCGTCTGAAAGTAGTTGTGGAAATTAATACCACAATAAAATACCTATATTACTGATTATGAATAGCTTATTTTTTTTCTCTAAAACTAATATGTGAAGGTAGATCATTTCCAGTTTTTAATTGGCTCTTTTATTTTGTAAATGTAAATTGCTGCAGTAGATGGTACATTTAAAAATAATGAATAAAAATCTCTAGCATATTCATAATGCTATTTTTCATAAGGTTGAAGAAACTGTAAAATAATAAACATCTAAACTGAGAAAACACCCAGGTTTCCACTCCTGGGGATGTAGCTCAAAATATATGTTTGACATAAAGTTTCTTTTGTATAGATATTATTGGGATAGTTACTTATCCATGAATACTGTTCATTTGTTATCATCTTACTGTAACTGCATCGTTCACAAATTGAACTATCTACATACTAAATGCAGTATGTATACAAATTAAGAATTTGTAAATCAAGTTGGAGTTTTTTTTTGGGGGGGGGGTTATATTTTTAATGGTTTTGAACATTTTCATAAATGTTAGACTTCACATCTTTTCTAAATCTTTATATATAACTAATGCAATTCAATACTTATTTATGTATTCCAGTTATTATCCGAGGTCAACAAACTGAATGATGATCCTCTTGTTCATGGAATTATAGTACAGGTTTGTTTCTTATCATTTTTTTTTTTCCAATTTATCATTTATATGTGATGTATGGTAATTATTATAAGAAATTTATTTAATACCAGGAAAAAAGTGTTTTTTGAATTGTAACTGTGCTGCAATTTCTGTTTTGCATGGTACATGAATAAATTTTTACATTTACCAGAGATAAAAACGGTAAATACAGAAAAATTGGTTTTAAATTTGTGAAAGTAATTCATGATTCTCCAAAAAATTGTGATGTATGAAACTAAAGGCTTACTAAATTTTTATTTAATTACAGTAAAGTTTTGAATAGGTCATTCATGGCATGGCTGAATTTTTTTAACTCTGAAGCTTAAATGTAAATTTATATTGTAACAAACTGACATTTATATCAGAACTAATAAAGAACTAGTAAATAATTAGCTTAATAGAAAGGAACAGATAATGCAAATCTTGTGATTATGTTATATTACTCATTGGCTAATCTTACAATACATGCCATTTGTTCAAAAAATGGCTGACCTTTTTAAAGGGCATTTTGAATTTAAAGTTTGTCTATGATCTCTATTGTATTAAATCATGAAAAGTAGTGTATATAGCTATTAAATTAAAATTCTGTAGAGGATACATTGAAAATAATGGTGAGAAATTGAATATTTTGACTTGACAGGTTTGATGGCTTTGAGAAATTCCTTATCTCCTGGGGTGTTGTAGATCATTACACTATTCTCTGCACTTATAGGGTACCCATCCCCTCTAATCTTTATATATAATCTAACAGGGTTCGTAGCGGTCCTTATAAGTGCTTATAAGTCCTTATATTTGAAAATAAAATATAAAGGCCCTTATAGGTGCTTACTTTTTCTTTAAAGCCCTTATTTTTTTTTTAGTGCTTTTTTTTTTTTTTTTTTTTAATGAACGCGCTATTTTTCCCGTACCAAAGCCGAAACTAAATAAACAACTTTTCTTTCTAATATGGAATGTCAGAAGGTGAGTCATACTCCCGGAAATAGCTTTTCCCTCTTTCTCTGCATTAACATACCTTTGGTGTGTACGAAGAGTACAGACAGGTGCCCGTCGTTCTATTGGTCAAAGAATTGCGAAAGCAGTAGAAAATTCCGGTACATTCGGCATTCTTTTCCTCCCACCCAAATACTACACACGTTTGAATTTCTATCAAGATCTTAAAAATTTGCATTCTCGTTCTGCTTGGTCGGTTCATATTCGTGTTTATTATGATCGTTATGTGTGAATGTTTATAATAACATAGTTGCAGTAACTGCTGAAGTATAGTAAACTTCCAAAAATGGTTGTTTTGTAACACAGATTAGCTTTCTAAGGAATAATATTCGGAATGGCTTAAATAAAGGGAAAGTAATCGAATAGTCAAAATAATTTCATTTTTTTGGCCAATACATTATACAGTACGACAGGGTTGCCACGCTACCTGGAAAACCAGAAAAAGTCAGGGAATTCGGAAATTGACCACAAAATTCAGGGAAAAGTCAGGGAATTTCATACTACGATCCCGCCAAAAAAGACGAGTTTTGCACCGACATCGGAAGAGATCACATTTTGGCGAATTGTGTATCACGTGAGTGTCATTCGGGCAGCTGGCATAGAGCCAATTTTCGCAGCTCCAATTTGATTGTCTTTTTAGAAAGGCAAAGCAAGTTTCCCGCAACTTTTGGTTTCCAGTAACCTCGAGAATCGCATGTGCAATGCATGTTGAACTAAAGAAAGTACCTGTTTCTCGTATAAAACAAAATGGGTTTAATCCTTAGTATACGGTAACCATGGAATGGTTAGAATCAAAAAATATGTATTGTATAAAGAAGGAAAACCTCTCTGCAACAGGCGTGGCTCCATTCCATCATAGCGTAGAGGGAAACAGCTGTGCATGCGCGATTATCTGCCGCCAAAGCTTGAAGCCGGTGTCGAAGTTTCGAAGGTTACGTTATCATCAAGAGGTTCATAAAAGAATGCCGTTGTTTAAAATTTCTTTAAAGGAAAATAACTTTAAAGGAAAAGAAAATATTTTTTGGCGCAAGTAAATTAATTCATGGATTAGTTATTTTGAGGGGGGAAAAAAAATCTACGAAAATCCGCTTTTAAAATTATTCCAAAAAATCCAAGAAAAAACGTTTCTTCTTGGATTTTTCGCAATAATTTAAAAACGGATTTTCGTAGTTTTCTTTTTTGTCGAAGAACGTTTTTTCTTAACACGTGTTTCTCAATTTCCTGTAATTCTGGCCGCCAGGTTCCGTCGCCAAATTCCTTGGCAAATTTTCCCTCCGCTTTTTACATAGACGTTCTTTGGTTAGAATAATCTCCATGTATGGTACAGAGGGATTTGGCGACATGATGATGAGCAGTAAATGGGTCATTTTGTTTTTGGCGACAATTTTCAAAATCATGCGAAGGCCATATCGTATACTAGAATTTTACCGCAAAATCTTTTTTTTTTTTTTTTTCTTTCTTTTTAATAAATACCTTGTCATTTTGCAGTAAAATAAAAAAATAGTAATCAATCATCTAGAGTAACCATGTAATATAACTGTATTTGCTAAAATATCGTTGATTATTCTAATTAAATTTTTAAGTAATTATCTTTATTTTTATGTTATTCATATCATTTAATGTTGCTTCTTCCCTCTAAATTTATTTATCATTAGTATATAATATTTCCAAATTTCAGGAAATTTTCTCTGGCATAATCCTGAAATTAATTCTAACAGTATGATGACATCACGAAATTTAATGCACATATTTTTTCTTTTTGTATGCTGCGAAATAAATATAAAATACCTCAATTTAGTAAAAAAATATCATTAAATAGATTTCTTTCTTTCGTTTAGCTGCAGAATGTCTGCAAAAAAAGCCTTATTTTATTCCAGATTTGGCAGATTCTAATCTCAATCTTCAGTGGAGAAAACAACTCCTATTATAATAATACATTTGTGTTTTCAAGTGTTAAGGTGCCTTTTAAGAATACACCTCACACAAATTAAATTTACCTAAAATCTAACCTAACTTTTAGCATTGCGTTGTGATTTATAAGAACCGGATTAGCCTCGTGTTGAACTGGGGATGATCATGAATAATAATTAAATAAAACGTACAGTTGTTATCCAATGTATATATCTTAAATTTTATTAAGTTCTTTTAAGCGGAAAAGTAAACAAAATTATCAAACAAAGTGTACCAAGAATAATTAAGAATAAATGTCCTCTGGGATTTATTGAATAATTAAGTGAATTTGCTACACAGTACAAGTAATACCATAATTAATTTACCTCTTAGCACAGCCAACGTACATTACGTGGATAGACTGGAATTTTCTCGAAACATACCTGGAAAACCTGGAAAAGTCAGGGAATTTCATTCTCCTGTTTGAGTGGCAACCCTGGAACGAAGGTTGGGAGGTCTTCCCTTTTTCCGCAAAATCTTGAATATTGAAACTGTTACAGTTCGCTGCAAAACAAGCAACGGACCTTTTTTTTTTTTTTTTTTTTTTTTTTTTTTTTTTTTTTTTGTCACTTTCCAATCTGGATTGAATAGGACTAAAAGTTCTGCAGTCTACCAACCCAAGCGAAGAAGGATTCTATTCCGGAAATTTAATGCCGTCTGTTGAAAATTAGAATGAAAAACACCCCAGTTATTTAGTTCTTTATACTCCCAATACCGGCAGTTGTTAATTCCAATTGCGTAATATCACGTAGGAAAGAATTACGGCGCATGTATTGTGCAATAACGTTTGCGATATTTTGCAGAGATAATTAATTTTGATGTTCAGTCCGAGATTTGTTTATGAACACTTAAAAGACTTTTACTGTGCTTGCTAAGCAGAATATTTTTTAGTTCTGTTGGTTTATTTTATATGATGCACATATTGAAATGTCAAAAAGCATTTATTTAGCGGAAAAATCTAAAGAGCGGCTACAGTCTACCCCCCTTCCGCTCCTTCAAGTTATGCTCGACTGTCCGAATATTTGCTAATTTCCAAGTATGCGGGTTAGTTAAGCTTAAAGATGACTGCATGAAGCAAATTTTCTGTCTTCTCCTTTCAGAAATGTTCCTCTTTTTTACTTAAATTTACTTTGCTTGCGATATCTGTTAAGAGAAAACTGATATACAATGAAAATTTAGAAAATGTTTAGAATTTAGATTTAAATTATTTAAATATCAATATGAGTGGAAAAATAAATTGTATTTATTATTAGGTTCCGAGCGAATACAATAAATGTACCGTATTATTATTTGTTTTCTCTATTTTGAACTGAAATTTCATCATTAAATCTTGTAATATAGTTTAGTTCTTGATAGTTTTTTTTTCCCTCATTGTAAACTAGTTCTGTAAATTGAACTATTATTTAAAATTAAAAACAAAAAAAAGTAATTATTTTCCATCGTTGAGGTAATGCTTATTCTCTCTTAATAAGTATTTCATTTCTCATATTTTAAATTACAAGTCTAATTTTTAAGGTTATGCAGTTGTGTATGATGTAATTAGACAGGTACTTATTTTTTTTTCTTAAAATGTGCTTGAAAAGTGCTTATAGGTGCTTATTTGTTTTAACTAAAATGTGGCTATGAACCCTGTCTAAACTGGACTATGGCTAAATTGTTTTGGCTTGACAGAGTCTTTGTTACTGAAACTAGATGCCATTTCCCATTATGTTATTGTTATATTTTCTGTAGAATTAAGAATATCTCATTTTGAAGATATGTAGATTGACTGTTTGGAACCATTACTGTATTTGTAATGTAAGCACAGATGTCTTTGTCATTATTTCAACATAACATCACAACTGGACCATAGGAGTAAGATAATTTTGTATGCTGACATATTTGATTGCTGGTTTGAGATCTCGTGTGCCTTATTCCCCCACAAGAGTTTGGTCACTGACTGAACAGTATTGCTGATCTGAATGCTTAATATTTCGAAATCTACCTTGGGAGAATGCACAAATTCAGCCTCTTTAGGTATTCTGTCATTTTGATAACAGAAGCAC